AATCATTAACGTTTCGGAGGAAGTAATACCCCCATCTTCAAGGTAGAAGATTTATATTGCACTTCCTCCATCATCATGGTAGAAATGTACCGTGAAGATGGAGGCAGTAGGATCTTCCGAAATGTTCGTGATTTCATCCCAGACTGCACGGAATCACATCTTATAAGAGATTTCATATTACAGCCTCCATCATTCCAAATACTCCAAATAAATATTTGAATTGTATGTTACTTACAAAGCTTCATGTGATAAACACATTTTAAACACGGAGAGAAATCCACATTTTTATGAAATTGCAGTTAGAGTTCTGTGTATCGCACAGTCGACATTTCCTTCTCATATAGTACAGTGTAAGCTGTTGTGTTTGTTTTATAACGGCCCCTTGGAACAAGCAAAATGCAGCCTCGCGTGACGCCCTAATGAACATTCCGGAAGTTTTCTGATTCATCCATCTGGGGTTTAGAACCCAAGATGCATCACGCAGTAGTTTAAATGCTTTTGTCTTATCTAACAGCAAACTTTGTAATATTATTAATTAGTTTCGTTCAGAATCCACGGTACTGCGGGCTGCAGCGTAGCGGTACAGTGGCTCCCTATTGTCTCTGCGTGGACAAAAGTTTTCCTGGACACACGACAAAACTGACCGAGTGGAACTGCAGCTGCCACAAGCGCCGTTGGTAATAATAATAATGTGATTTCGGAATAACACAGACGGTATAAAAGATCTACGGGCTGGACGGCCTGATTGCTTTTCCCAGCAATGCAAGATGTTTTGCTACTCAACAGCGTCCAGACCGATTCTGCGGCCACCCCAACGGTTACCAGCGGCTCTTTCCTCAGGGTTAAAGCGGCCGGGACCTGAAGCTGACCACTCACCTCCCTCTGGTGTCGAGGTCGAGAAAGGTGGAACTATACCTCCACTCCTCCATATGTCTTCGTGGCATGGTGTTTAACTAATTCAGCGCAGGGACAACTTTACCTTTCTTAATAATAATATATACAGTGAGGATTAGGCTCTCTTGGCCTGTTCTCATTTAAAATTATTGTCTAAAACTATGAAACTCATAGACAGTCCGTCGGACTCCTTGGACAAGGGATTAGCCCTGTCGCAAGGCCGCTACCTATACAGGACAACACAAACAGAACAAACACAGACATCTATGCTTCGAGTGGGATTCGAACCCATGATCAAAGTTCTTGAGCGGGCCACTGTGATCGGAATAATTCAATTCAATTCGTGTTTATTTACGTGCAGACTTAACAGCACAGAGGCCAATTACAAAGCTAGCACGAACAGAGAGAAATACACAAAAATAATTAAAAAAACAACATACAAATATGATAGTCTGTTAATTACACAGTGAGCATGAATAAAGATACAGAAACAAACACACACAGACAAAGCCGCAATGTGAGAATTTGGGTTTCAAATAGAGCAGCATACAACAATAATAATAATAATAATAATAATAATAATAATAATAATAATAATAATCATAACGAAATTAATATAAATAATGATAATAATAATAGTTTCATTAATTCAGTATAAGATATGTTTCAGCCAGTCACGGTAGCCGAACAGTCTGAGGCATGTACTGTCTTCGCTCGCTTGGAAACTGGGATCGTGGGTTCGAATCCCACTCAGGTCATAGATGTTTAGTTTGTGCGTGTGCGTTTTTCTGTGTTTGTGTACAGGTAGAGGCTTTGCGACGAGCTGATCACCCACCCAAGGACTCCTACCGAAAGTGCAAGATCTAGAAAAACCGAAGTGAACGGAGAAGTTCATGGAGGTAGGCCTAGGCCCACTGGGGCTGTAATGCCAAGGGAAAAAAAGTTGTCCCTGAGCTTAATTAGTTAAGCACCATGCCATGAAGCCGTATATGCCAGTGGACATATAGCTCCATGTATTCTTGACCTCCGTTCTAGATGGAGGAGAGCGGTTAGCGTCACTCCCCAGCCGCTTTACTCCCGGGAAGAAGGCCCTTGCACCCGTTGGATAAGAGGCTGGGTAAGTCCCAGCGCCGGTCTGGACGCTGTAGAGTGGGGAAATGTCTCTTGCATCTGCCGGGAATCGAACCCATCGCTATACCACTGAGCTTTCCCTGCTCCAGAGAAGAATGAGCACAACATTTATTTTCGCATGAATATTCTGGTGGTGTCCTTTCCCGTGAGCCGTCTGGACGTGATTTGAACCTGACTCATGGACAGGATATCTTGCAATATTGTGTAACAATAAGAGTGCTGTGGGTCCTAATCCACGAAAGCTAAAGAATAAAAATTATAGCCTATTTAAATAGGTCAGCAATAACTGAAAAACCAATTGTGTGTGACAGACAAGATGTGCTGATTTCATATCAGCTATAACCGAGGGGGTAGGGTTTTTGCTTCGTATTTTGGAAGTCTCGTGTTAAAATCTCGGCTCTTAGATTAGCTATCACGTCTGAGGCCATTACATTATCTTATGGATTTGTAACACTGTCGTTAAGTTACGCAAGACTCGGTTATAATTTCAATATCTGGTGTTACGTGGTTAAATATTAGCAGCAAAAAGCCCTGATGACCTAATTTTTGGTTTTAAGTAAAAAGAAAAAATTAGTAATCATTTATAATATACTTATGTTTATACCAAGTCTGATTTATGTCCGTTCAAGTTTCTGTATCCAGTGAGTGTACTTACGATCGCGTGTTGTTTATTATGATGTCAACAACAACTTTCCTCTCTTCGGCATCAAGATTAGTGGCTCTGGTAAATGGAGAATTCGATCCGCAAATATATATGTCTTACACACTGGAGCTGCCACATGTTGTGGGCCCAGTGCTCACATGCTATACGGTACTGTTATGCTTACTCAAACAGAAAGTCTGTGAAGAGTACAGTGATTACGTCACATCACGTCACTTCACGTCACAATATTACACACTTCACTGCTGTTTGCACGCCCACCTCAGAGCTGTCAAGTAGTTTGCAAATAACAGGAAAGGATACCCAGTTGTTCATCTGACACATTGACACTTAAAACAACTGCATAAAATCAATTCAAAAGATTTCAAAATAAAGAAGTGAAACATCTGTAAGTGTCTGTGACACTTGTGTAATAAGAACAGAGATATTTGGTTTGAAGACATTAAGGAAAGAGATCACTTGGAGGACCAAGGCGTAAACGGCAGGACACTCTTAAATTATAGCGAGGAAATATGGCGGGATGGTGTTGAGTTGATTGATTTGGCTCAGAATAATATTGGAAAGTTCTGTCTTGTGAAAAGGACAAAGAAATTTTGTGTTCAAATATATGACAACTTTCGAAAATACAAAAAAAAAATTTAAATTTAAGATAAAAATTGAAAACTTACTAAGATTTTTAAATCTGAGAACTTAAGAACATATCCGACGATTTTGAAAATGTAAGAAATTATAATATTTTCGAAAAATTTATGAACATCGAGTTTTTCTTTGAAATGTTAACATATTAAAGACTTTAGAAGCAATTAAAAAATAAATGTTTTTTTCTAAATACTAACAATTGTTTTCCAAATTTTATAAAACTGTCGAAAATTTAAAGAATTTGAAATTTCGAAAGAAATTACATTTTGGAAAAAACAATCAAATCAAAGACGGATATACAGAATGTGGTGCCTAACATAACCTAACCCAATCTGATAATTTTCTGCCCGAATGTGCTGGTTGCCGCATATGCGTCGACCTAACCTTAACTACCGCAAAGTGACCACGCCGAACACAAACCTGCAGGTTTACGAGACCTAATCTGACCCATAATGGGGGCGAGCGCTCCTCAAGTGTTGGTCTTTGTGTACATATCCGTGTCCATGGATTCCCTCAGCATTGCCGGAAAGTACACGTACAGTACTCCGAAACAGGCCGTTGTATAGCCTTCCTAGTTCTGCAATTGGAATGTCTCTGTTATTCGCGCAGTTCAGAAGTTTCCACAAATAAAACTAGGAGACCAACAAATACAAGTGTTTTTAGCAGGGCAGTGCGGGTCAGTTTCCATGGAAACCAAACTCAAAGCTAATCTCATTAAGTTACTGTAGAGCAAGAAGATACCAGAAATAAGCCGCAACGGCCGCGCCATAGCTCAAGCGATTAGTCGCTGGCTTCCCATCGCGGCGGCCCGGGTTCGATCCCGGGTCTGATCAAGTGGGATTTGTGGTGGACAAAGTGGCGCTAGGGCAGGTTTTCTCCAAGTAGTTCGGTTTCCCCTGCCAATCTTCATTCCACCAATTACTCCACAATCACCCTTACCTATCATCTGGGGCTGGTACAATAGGCCAGAAGTGGCCGCAGTACAAGGGACTTAGTCCCACCCCACTTGCCATAAAAAAAATAAGCCGCAATGATTCAGTCGGTATTTTGCATATGCAAAAAGGATATTATTATAATTTTATGGAGCACGCGGTAGCGTAGTTGGTCGAGGCACAATACTACAAGCCGGAAGGTCGTGGATTCGATTCCCGATGTCATTGTATTTTTCAATTGAGCCAATCCTTCCAGCCGCAATATAACCATGGGCTTGACTCAGCCTATAACAGAAATGAGTACCAGGAATATTCCTGGAGGGTAAAGGGCGGCCGGCATATAAGCCTGACAACCTCTACACCATCTGTTAAGCCGATTTGTTTAGAAGAATATGGGAGCCTCGACGTCTCACAACCCCATGGGCCTCCACGGCTTATTACAGGATAGCTTTACCCCTTTTATTATTACTATGCTTTCTCATCAAACTGCTTTTTGCAGAACACCTCGCGTTCATGGCGTACATATTCAACATAGATGTGATTTCAGATTGTCCATCTAAGGCTATAACCTGCAGGAGTGCGTCAGTGAAAGGGTTAAGGCTACAAATAGGAATTGTCGACTTTTCCCGTTGAATTTTCAACGTGCATTCCAATAGTTGTTATGTTACGTAGTGCTCAGTGTGAGACGAACCTAATGGTGGAATGTTGGGCATGAAATATTAATGTTTTGGTGTGATCCACAGTCGGACATCGTGCACCAGTCGGTGTACGAGCTCGTGCACTCGGAGGACCGGGAAGAGTTGCAGCGACAACTGATGTGGAACTCGTTCCTGCCACCCGAGTCAGCCAACTTCGTGCTCCAGGATATTCTGCAGCCAGAGAACTGCCACCTCTTGGAGCGAAGTTTCACTGTCCGTTTCCGTTGCCTGTTGGACAACACCTCGGGGTTCCTGGTGAGTCCACACCCTCTTGTCTACTCAACCTCGGCTCGTTGTACCACGGTCACGTGTCTGATCCCCTGTTTGCCACCTGCTTTCAAGCTGATTTCTTACTCGATTTATTCTTCGACCCTGAGGATGGAGGCGAAATATGCCTCCGAAACGTCTGTTGACTTTCAACGGGCTACATGGTGTTATATCCCAGAAGACAGAACTCTTCATAACCACCGATGTGTGAACCTCAAATTCTACATAATTGAAGCGCTTTTATGAAACATGGTATGAACATCATGCCACTAATAACCAACCCACCTTCATGCTTCTTATTTTTTCTACCATCAGTAATATCAAAATGGCTGCTCTTCAGTGTTCCAAAACGGAACCCATGATGTACCTAGAACAAATCCAAACTTTAAATGTAATTAATTTGTACTCGTCTCTCTTCTCCTGTTACATCAGCTATAATTCGATATCGTGCGAAATTTACGTGCAGGTAAAACCTGAAAAAGTTAAAGCTGTCCCTGTAACAGGCCGTAAAGGCCCATAGGGTTGTGAGACGTCGAGGTTCCCACATTTTCTCTAGACAGTCGGCTCACAGATGGCTCTGAGGTTGTCAGCCTTACGCGCCGGCCGCCCTTTACCCCCACGAAGATTTCTGGTACTCATTTATATTAGAGGCTGAGTCGACCCCAGTGCCATATTACGGCTGGAGGAATTACATCAACTGAAAAATCCAATGACCCTCATCGGGAATCGAACTCGAGACCTTTGAGAGAAAAGTATTTATTTTAAGAGTACGCCTTCTACTTGCCAGTTCCTAAAGACAAATGTCGGGATAAGTAGATATTAATAGGTTCTGAGATCAGTGGATAACACACGAGAGTAGTGGGTTTTTGGACTTTGTCCATCGTCCGGTAAGATAAAGTTGTCCTGTGCTTAACTAATTAAGCACCACGCCATAAAGGAGTACGGGGGAGTGGATGTATAGATCCACAGTTTCTTGGCCTCTGCACTAACTGGAGGTGAGTCGTCAGCTTCACGTCCCGGTCGCTTTAACCCCGGGGAAAGAGCCACGGGAACCCATTGGAAAGGAGTCTGTATGGGCCTCAGAGTTGGTATGGACGAGGTGGAGAAAAGACAATTTTTTGACCCTACCGGGACTCGAACTCCGATCTCTCTGTCGACCAGCCGGTAACCGACTGCGCTATCCCGGCTCCTTGTCCATCGTCCGCTGTTCTAAATAAAATAACGTTTCGGAAACTAGATCTGTTTCCGTCCTCAGGTGAGAGGGTGGGAGACACCGTTCACCCCCAAGAAAATTCTTGGTACACATTTCTGTTAGAGGAAATCGAAAAAAGAAAACTATTAATGAATGGCTAGATGCAGCGGGGAGCACTTCAGAATTTTAGCATATGATTCGAATCATCATTATCAATAATTTTTCATATATGTGTAAACTTTAATTACGTAATTTGAATATACCTCCTCTTTTAAGTTTTAACTGCTGATAAACGTGAGAAGTAAACATATCATATACACTTACACATGTTCATATCTGTAGGCCGAGTACACTGCGCTCCGTTAGAGCACTGCACAATTCACGGAAAATTTAATATTGCAACTATAAAAGTATCCAGAACTATGGACTTGAAGACGATGTAATTGAGGTTCGATTCTTGTTACGGCAAAGGATTTTTCAATTCCCCATAACGTCCAAGTTGGTTCTGGGTACCGTTTATTCTCCTGGCCAATTTTGTACTAGGATTCGTTCCAGGTAAGAAGCGACTGCTCCTGTGCATGCAGAAGAATGCCTGGAGCTATACTGCACTCCCCTATACACATCCTTGGTGAGGTGCTTAATTAAGTAAAGGGACTTTTCCATTTATTTGCTACTATATTATGGATGGTCACTGTCTTCGCTCGCTCGGAAGCCGGGGTCGTGGGTTCGAATCCCACACAGGGCATGGATGTTTGGTGTGTTGTCCTGTGTTTAGGCAGAGGCCTTGCGACGAGCTGATCACTCGTACAAGGAGTCCTACCGTCTGTAAAATGGTCATGAAACTGAAAATCAGAAGTCAGGGCCCAAGGGGCTGTAGCACCAGTGAAAAATAAAATGTGGATAAATATAGATCGTTGAGAAAAAAAAAGATTAACTTTATTTTGCCAGCGAAGCAAAAACAAAGCAAGCCGTAGATTATTAAGATATGTCCGCCTGCTTTAATATTTTAAATTAAGTCGACTGTCTAGCTTTATACTGTGCCTGAACCCCTCGGGCATTAATCACATGTGAATTTGTTTCTCTACACACCTGTATCGTCATAATTAAGGCGAGATTCCTCTTTAGTTGCCCTGTGTGTACACAACTGGATGCCAGATTAAATAATTTGATTACACAGTGGACTTATTCAATTAATTAGGAGTGTCAGGGATGTAATGAAACGTCAGCCGAACGAGGGGACAATTCGTCATGGACACGCTGAGTGACGGCAGGAAAATGCATTGCTACTTCTGCTTGCCTCTTCTTAATGAAGTTGTCGCTGCAGCGCTGGGCGCGCAGTGCCAAGTCCTCATCATCTTTGCTACGGAGCACCCACGCCCGAACAATGTGGCACGTAGACCCGTTGCTGTGCAACGACTGAGACTATACAACAAGCGTTTCTACGTAACGGCTCCGCAAACAAACATATTTCCAAGGCAACAATTGTACTATAACAGAGGAACGGTGTTTTGTAAGCGGTCCGTGCTGAGATTTTATAAGTAGGGCCAGTTAGCTGTTGAGTAAGTCACGTTCAAGTGACTAGACTGCCGTGGTAGCTAATACTACTAGGAAATATATATATATATATAAAGGGCATAATCTGCTGTACCTAGCCTGGACTGACAGAGGAACAGTATATATTGTACATCTAAATAAGAAATAAGTGTGTATTGTAAATATGTGTAAATACAGACAGTTGACTTAGTACTACAGACTGACTAACAAATGACAGACCCGACCTCTCGTCAGAGAGGGCGCTACACATAGACAGGACAGTAACTTTCACTCAAAGAAATATCTGGTCATGAGCCCCAGCTGGGGCTCGACACCAAGACAGACAGACTGACTGACCGTCAGTTGCAACGTGACTCTGACTCTGACTCTGACTCTGACTGAGTAAGTCAGCTGGTTGGTGAGTTAGTGATTTAGTTAGTCGTTGTGAGATGTTGCTGTGAGAAGCTGGTAGCGAAGACAAGAGACAGTTCGGGAAACCAGAGGATGGGAACGTCCGCAGTTGGAAGCCTTTACCAACCAAAGGCAGTGAAGACAAGACTTCGGACACTAGTGTGTGTGTGTGTGTGTGTGTGTGTGTGTAACAGTGAACTGTAAAATGTTGTCACGTGCTGTATCAAAGTGTCCAATAAACCCGATCATCAATCCAAACCTTATCCGTAGACACTCCATCACGTGACACTATATCAAAATATATAGTAGCTCTAGCTGTGCTTAATCAATTAAGCACCATCTCATGAAGGCATGGGGAGTGGAGGTATGGCTACCGTTTTTGACCTGGGCACTAGATGGAGGTAAGTGGTTAGCTGTACGGCCGTGGCCGCTTTACCCCCCGGGGAAAGGGTATCCGGTACCCATTGCATAGGGAGCTGGGTGGGCCCCAGACCCGGTCTAGACACTATGGAGAAGAGAACAATCTCTTGCGCCCTGCTGGAAATCGAGCCCGGGTCGTCCAGCCCAGGGTCCGTCACTATATCGACTGAGCTATCCTGACTGACACTGTAAGGTAACATTTTCGTACTTTTACTCAGTTGTTCCAGGCAAGTTCACGAAGAATACCGTGGAGTGGGCAACTACCGATTTCTTCTGTATCCTTCCCAATTAATCTTATACAAAACCATTCTCCCGTCTTGGATTTCTTCCTTCTGTACCGTAAGATCTGCTTGATAGTAGACAATACACGGTCTATTAATGCATAACGCGATCTGTATTCAGAAACGTTTGGCATCGGACTAACCGTATACGGTTCAGTGAACTAAGCGATCTGCCGCTTATACGTCCATAGGAAACAATACATATTTTACTATGCGAAGCGATAAAATTTGTATTTTCAGTCCTCATTACTGTATACCGATATAGAAAGACAAAGGAAGAACTGGACAGATTCGTAAATGAGGTCAGAACACGCTAATTCAGAGTCGTTAGAGTGAAGAAGAAGAAGAAGAAGAAGACGAAGGAGAAGGAGGAGGAGCATAAACAGGAAGAGAAGCAGAAAGAGGAGGAGAAGCAGGAGCAGCAGCAAAAGTAGGAGGAGCAGCGGCAGGAGGAGGAGGAGAAGGAGAAGCAGGAACAAAAGGAGAAGGAGGGGGGACAGAAGGAGGAGGAGGAGCATAAACAGGAAGAGAAGCAGAAAGAGGGAGAGAAGCAGGAGCAGCAGCAGAAGTAGGAGGAGCAGAGGCAGAAGGAGAAGGAGAAGCAGAAGCAGGAACAAAAGGAGGAGGAGAAGGAGGAGGAGGAGCATAAACAGGAAGAGAAGCAGAAAGAGGAGCAGAAGCAGGAGCAGCGGCAGAAGGAGGAGGAGAAGGAGAAGAAGGAACAAAAGGAGGAGGAGGAGGAGGGACAGGAGGAGGAGCATAAACAGGAAGATAAGCAGGAAGAGGAGCAGAAGCAGGAGCAGCAACAAAAGTAGGAGGAGCAGCGGCAGGAGGAGGAGGTGGAGAAGGAGAAGCAGGAACAGGAACAAAAGGAGGAGGAGGGGGCAGAAGGAGGAGGAGGTTACCATACAAAGCTACGCCGATATGTAATAGATATTATGTACGATGTACACATCCATTCATTTTTAGAATCTGAATTTGTTTATGCGTAAGAGTAATTCACTGTTTGTTTCTTGCATGTGCTTGGCGCCCTTAAGGCACAACTACTTGGTTAGGAGGCACGGGTGAATTGGCACAGTTATTCACAGATCTGTAGCCCATTCCAATCACCTCATCTTGCACAACGTATAGGCTTACAGCCCATATAGTTG